AGGCTGCATCCCAGTACTAGGCTCGCCAAAACCTGGTAGTGTAACGAAGGGCGGGCAAGCCCTGGACACCCACTTCGAAGGGGAACAAGAATGGCAGGCGGCAACCCCGCCCCCACCCCCCCCCGCTCCCCCGGCCACCCCCCCTGCCATCACTACTGCAGATGCCCTGGCCTTGCTGCCACTGCTGTGCCAGCTGTGGTAGTTATGTCTCTACTGAAGTCACATACAGTTTTAAACCCTGCTCCAGTTTCTTCAGCCTGCGGTACCTGACTGTCATTCAGACACTTTATAGCGCTTTACAACAAAAATGAATGAAATATCACATGACCTGTACAAAATACATAGCACTGTTAGCCTCATTGTACACCTGGGTAAACCAAACCACAGCTATTTAGATGACTTGTCCTGATCAGAGAGGAATCAACAGACTCTATAACGTGGCCTAGATATCCCGGCTCTTAGTCTCCTGTGCTAAACCCTAGGGACTATGGTTGCCCATCGAGCCTTTCCTGTCTCTGTTTAACACTGTAGTCATGCTGCTTTTTCCTTTGGTTCAGAGATGATCCATTTTATGGCTTTTCAATGTCGACCAAACACTATGCATTGCGCTTGGGTGACAAAGCATTTCCCTCCTTTCATAGAACTGGTGAAAGTTGGTTCAGGACTACGTGAGGAATACTGCCTACATCCTTGGGAAACATTGAGGCTCTGGGCTAAGCCCTGCAGTCCGTGTTTCAGCTATAGTGTTGCAGTACCATTGAGGAACCACAAGTCTGTCCCCCTTGAAAGATCCATATATTCATTATTGCCTGATAACACACAAGAAAGGAAGGAGGAACAAAATAGATGGCATAGTATGTTCCCGGGTGGGATTTCTTCCCCAAAGGTCAGATATTTGAAGGCATTCAAGGACAGATTTTTAAGTGGGCTCGTATTATCTGGGGTCAGATTTTCAAACTCACAGAGGCCCCCTCCCGATGCATTTTCTATATTTGAACATTATCTTAACATATTGCTACAATGACATCTCTGCACAGGAAGTGCCAATTGGGTATGAAACGCTGCAAAATCAGAACAAAGGCATATTACAGTCACTGAGCACTGGTGTAAATCATGTCAAACATATGACCTGTGGGCCAGATCTGGCCTGGAGAAGTGGGTCATCTGGCCCATGGGGCTTTTTGCAGGTTGGATTACCCATCTCTGAGGGCTGGATTTGGCTCACATGGCTCCTCACCGTGGTTGCTGCAGCCTCTGCCATGGTGGCATAAATCCTTGCTGTTACAGCAGGGTTCTTGAACCCCGGGAGTTGACACCACATGCCCCCGTCCTCTTCGTTCCCTGACCTGCCTCGGGAATGAGCTGCCCCTCTTGGGTAAAAGTGGCAGTGGCATTAACTTCCTGGGTTCTGGAGCAAGACTGAATCAATGGCTTCAGCAGCCAAGGGGATTACTAGGGCTGCTGCTGCTTGCTGGTCATTTGGCCCATGGGAAGCCCTGTAGCCTGCATCTGGCTTGTGACAAGCTCCGTGGTCTGGATCCCACCCATGAGTTTGAACTCCTCCAGTGTAAACGAGTACACAAAGTGCAGGGATTCAGAGTATGTCTACACTGTGTATTGGGTGCTCTTGGAGAAAGAGGCCCTGCTACTATTTACACATGCTATACCCGGATGCTACACACCAGCTGCTCTCAAGCATGCAGAGGCAGTGGTTTCAGGAGTAGACACAGAAGAATACCCCTGGGTTGGCTTCACTACTGGATTTCTGGTTTGGTGCACGCAAATGAGAGAGGGTAGGTGGGGCATATCTCAACTTGCTTTTACTGGAGAGCACAGGGGACAGGGTATAGAGCTGCGTGCAGAGAACCAGCTTTATTGACTTGAGCTGAGTTTCTCTTGAGTTATACTAGTGTAAAGGTGGGTAGATCCTGGCCCATTATTTATAGCACAGAACGGCTCAAGCCACGATCTCCTCAATTCCTTCCAAATCTGAATTCCCTCAAAAATGACGAGTTGCTTGGATCTAGAGTTTTGCTAAGAAGGGCCCATCGACTGCAGTGTTTAGTGGATCCTCATTGTGACTCTGTATTTTTGGACCTTTCTGCTGCTGCTCATTTTGAAGTAAAATAAAAATCACATGTTCTCCTGGAAGACCGAGCCAATATAACTGGTAAAAAAAATTGATGCATTCCAATAACTGGAATGCAATGGAGTTTATTTAAAATGGAGGTCAGTTAAGGGGCATATTTATTAAAGGAACATTTCTGGTGTGTATAAGATGGTTAAACACAGTGCCAAAATAGGTCAAAATGATTGTGTTTAATAAATAAAATGATACAAACTGATTTGCCTCTCAGACGATGCCAGTTGAGTCAGTGATAACACCATGGGGGAAAAAGGAAATTCAGGCCAAGGTTTACTTATTAGACCAACGACAATAAAAAGCCCCAACTTTCTAAATAGAGAACAGGGTAACAACCCCTCACCTCCTCTGTAGCATGATTCATTGTAAAAGCATAATACACCATATGGGATCTTTAAACACCTATCTTTTGTCGTTTAAACTTTGGCTAACACTTGGGTGCAACACTGGTTTATACTGCATATGCTGGTATATCACACAATGCATGGTGCTCAGTGAATGGGTTTTGCCTAATTTGAACTGTGTCCGAATGCTTCAGGTCCGGAAGTTCAACTCAACCCAAACAGGAGAAACTTTGAACACAGGCAAGTAGGGGATGATGGGAAAAAGAAATCCAAGAAAAAATCCAAGACAGCAAAAAAGGCTATTAAAATACATAGATATTTTATATGCTATTCATAGAGCTGGCATGGTTCTCTGAGTAGATATGATACTGTATCTTTTATTAGACCAACTGAGTAGTGTTGGTCTAATACACAGAACACACATTTGTCCCAGTCTTGGCTTTAATTCAAAATAGTTACAATTTTTAACTGGTCTATAATGCTTCGTATCCTTCAAAACTCTTCGCAGATATACATTCTGGCTCAGACAACCTGCTAGAAGTGAGATAATTTCTAAACTCAGGTGTAAGTTTTACCAGTTTATCCAAGCCTGTATCTCATGCGAGCTGTGATGTACAAACATGCTTGTAAGCTACCTTCCTTTACTACTCAGACTTGGTGCCTTGATTTTAAGAAGTCCCCAGTAGCCTAGGCTGTAACAACAGTGCCATCTATAGTGAATAAGGAAGCACTGCTATTTCTGGATTTATTCCAGGGCTTCCTCTTTTCCCAGCCTGGCTGATGGACTCAGAGGGACTGGGACCAGTTGGTAGAAGATCAGGAGAGACTGGTCTTTTGCGAGGAAGATGGGAAAAGAGACTGCCCGGGGATCCAGGCAATCCCAACATACTTTCCGAGGGCCCAGGCTGGGATCTCCAGCACAGGTAGTTTAAGATAAACTAAAACAAGTCTGTCCTTATGCACTCTAAAATGTAAGCAATGAAAGCGTGTTAGGAGGTGAGTACATGGCAGGCTGTATTTGTGGGAGTCAATCTCTGAACACACAGAAACAGCTCCTAACTTTGTAAAAGGGGCTCTATCTTGTCCACCAAGGCATCTCCTTCCACCTTCAGATTCCTATCTGCAGATGATTGATATATTGCAGGAATCCTTCCCATTGTACTGTCCTACATAGATTCATAGATTGTAAGGCTGGAAGGGACCTCACAAGATCATTGGGTCCAGCTCCATGTGCCAAGCAGGAAAGATAACTGGGATCAGGTGACCCCAGCAAGGTGACTGTCCAGTCTCCTCTTGAAGATTTCCAGGGTAGGAGATTGCACCACTTCTGTGGGGAGCTTATTCCACAGTCTGGACACCCTGACCATGAAGAAGTTTTTCCTAATGTTGAGCCTGAATCGATTTTCTAGGTATTTGTGGCCGTTACTCCTGGTTTTCCCCTCAGGTGCCCTGGTGAACAGTTGCTCACCGAGCCCTTGAAGTACCCCCCTAGGGTAGCGGTAAGCTGCTACCAGGTCCCCTCTTAGCTTTCTTTTCCTCAGGCTGAAGAGTCCCAGATCCCACAGCCTTCCCTCATACGGCTTGCCTTTTCAGACTCTGATCATACAGGTGCCTTTTCTTTGGACTCTCTCAAGTTATTCCATTTCCTTGTTGAAGTGCGGCGCCCAGAACTGGATGCGCTCCTCCAGCTGCACTCTCACCAGTGCTGAGCAGAGCGGAAGAATCACCTCCTTGGTTTTGCTGGAGATGCATCAATTGATGCATGCCAGAGTATTATTTGCCCTACTGGCTACAGCATCGCACTGCCAGCTCATAGTGCGATAAGCCGGCTCCCTGCCAGCTTTGCTGATAATGCCATACCCAGTAACAAGCCATTGTCTTGCCTTTCCTAGTTTGGGATGTGCATCATGTGTTCCCTGTTGTTTGTGAGCTACTCAGCACAGCTCACAAAGACACACTCATGGACCCAGAGGGACAGCCTTCCATCTTCAGCTCCCTCTGTGCAAAAATGAAGTTTATTTCCTACCTATGGGGACTTTTTGCCATCTTGTACCAGCTATACTTTTCCCAGAGCCTAATGAAGGGACTTTGATCCCGAAAGCTTGCAGAAAACGACAGTTTTCTTGCAACTTCCCAGTTGGTCTAATAAAAGGTATCATTTTGGAACCAGGAGTTCTAGTTTTTTGTATGTCCTGTTGTTTGTGATGCATTCAGCAAGTTTATAAGGACACGAGTGAAGAACATTATTGGCAAAAGAGGCCCAAACCTCTGAGCCTGCAATTTCACCACTCGTGGGAGATGCCATAATAAACTCGGGGAGGAAGCAGATTCTTGGGATCACCCCATTATTTGGGGGAGGTTGGTATCTCCCGTTTCCTTGACACCCAAGAGACAACACAATAAGCTGTTCCAGCTGGAAGTTAGCACTGAACCCCCACTCCCATCCCAGCTCCTCTTGCACATCAGTGTCAGTAGCTCCCGAGACTGCACAGGGACACGGGTGTAGCAGAGGCATGGTGGTAACTGGGAACGGAGCTAGGTTTCCAAATGCTGGCAAGGGAGGTAACATGGTGCAATCTGCAGGCAGCACGTCACAAGAAGACGGTGAGGATGGTAAGGTTCAGAGATGGGTACAACAGAGGGGGGCTTTTTCTTTCCTCTGTGGGCCATAACGAACATCACTACACCATTGTAGTCCCAGCAGTGTTATTCTGTGGGCACGTCTACATGAGACAATTACTGTGCACTGGCCTAATAACACTGTGCGGTAGCATGTCATGGCAAAAAACATGCTAATAGCCTACTGCGCAGTGTTAGTAGGCTAATGCACAGTAAGTGTCACTAAATAACCGTGTGCCAGCTCTACTGCTCAGTAACTTTAGGTCCTGTGCATTCAGTTAGTGCTTTATTAAGAAAGTGCTCAACTAAATGTGCAGTATTTAAAGTACGTTAATGAATGTGTCGATGTGCCCTGTGAGTAATTTTGAATGGTGGTAGTTTCTAAAGATTCCCCCCGGGTTGGGATCTTGGTGTACCAGACACCATACAGCGTAGGTGGGAAGACCTGACTCCCTGATGGAAACAGCTTTTAATTGATTTGAAGGAGAGGGATCTGGACCTCAGATCTCCTCTTTATCGGACCGGTATAATTTGCTGTTACGTCTCACAGGACACAAATATGATCATGGTGCCATGATGTCCTATCTCCACAGGGTGGCATTCTCTCACTTCCTCACTAGCCTGGCAAGAGGAGGTTGCAATGTCAGAAACGGGATTTTGCTCCTCTGCTTCAGCGGAATTGAGGGGCTGTCTGCATTTGGAAAGTGCCCGGGATAAACCTTTAGCAATCAGGCCTGGTTTAAGACAACAATTAAGGGATGTGATTCTAGTTACAGTTACACATCTAGTTAAACTGGATGTCAGAGGGCGAAAGTCTGTTGATACTGTTGAAAACAAATACTCGAGGCTGCAGAAACGTTTTGGAGGCAATAGGCACTTTGGTGCGTGATGGGCAAAAGCTTCCAATGTCAACATTGTAAATATTGGGAAAAATGCAGACTCTTATTTTGATTTGCTATGCATTTGCCTGATCTTTAGTGCGATGTATTCTCATTGACAAAGGCAGGGGAACATTGGGTCCCTTTTGCTCCATATCTTTATGGAGCCTGTTATAATAGCGGGGGAGAGGGAAGGTGCTGATCAGAGTGATGCATGTTGACACTACCTCGTCATATTAATTACATAAAATAAGGGTAAAGAGGCAGAACACAGTGTCAAGGGGAGGAGAATGTAAAATATCCAGCATTGGAGATATTCAGTTACCCCAGACACCTGCTTGCTACATTAGAAATAGTGTAGGGGTAGGTAAATCAATGGATTACTTTGGAGGCACTGCAAAAACTCAGGTCTGAATTCTCACGATGACAGCTCACGTCTTCATCAGGAAATGCTGTTTCATTAAGATCAAAACTTTCCATGGGGACATCCATGTTGACAAAAGCTCATTAAGAGAATATCAGAACAAAACAGCTTAAGATACCTGTTATCACCAGCTTCAGAATGGAAAAGCTGGGGTTTTCATTTAAAAACTATTTGTGCCTGACTCTTGCTTTATTCCATGGCTTGCTACAAACTATAATCACAATAAACTAACATTATTATTATTTTAGTTTATATATTTTAGTTTCTATTATTTTAGTTATATCAGTGAGTATAATAACAAGCCCTGATGCCCCGCTTCAGACTGTCTGAAATGAAGGAGACGATTCGGAAGGCTTGCACCACCATCAGAACCGCGCAAGACCTGGAACTTCAGTTTTGCTGGAAATGCTGCGATGCTGACACGTATCATCGTTTTGCCTTAGAACGAAGCATCTCATTTGGCAGTTTCCCATGAAATGAATGGCATAACTATACGTTGCAAAACGTCAAACCGGAACATTTACATAGATCCCAAATTAAATGTTTACAAAAAATGGTTCACTGCTCAATCAAAAGATAAGGGGATTTGTTTTAAGTCTCTAAATTCAGGTCTAGGCAGAGCACAGGATCTGAGGTTTGACATTGTAACTAGATAACACAGCGGGGAATTTATTGAAAAGAGCGTTTATACTAAAATATCTAACTCCTGCACAGTGCCTTTTTATTGTGAGGATGTTAGTTCTTTACAAGAGAGATGGGTAACTGAGGCACAGATAGACAAAGTGATTTGCCCAAGGTCACTCAAAAGGCCAGTGGCAGAGCAATGAATAGACTGAGCCCAGAGATCCAGCCATGTAACAACCGTGGGGCACAGTTGATCCACTGTGTGCCCCTTCCCCTCTCTGATCCTCACCTATCCCATCTGTTAGATGTGGGTAATGATAATGTAAAGCCCTACGAGATTTGTAGATGAGAAGTGGGATAAAGAATAAGATATTTAAGTTACACAAATCTTGCGTTCATCTCAGTCCCTCCCCATTTCAGTAACTGGTCTACAGAAAGGGTCAGCCCTCTTAGCACCGCAAATCGGATGTTTCTTTAGCAGAAGCAGTAGGAGACTTCATGGGTACTCACAGATGCATAGGTGTAGTTGAAACAACACCTGCCTATATGTCCTCAGGTATCGTGCTGATGCAGGTGTCGTGCTGATGACCGCCTGAGTACCTAGAATCTGGATAAAAGGAATTAAGCGTATATATTTGTAGGGCCTTAACATCATTTAGTACAAGTCAACATAATGCTACTAAAGTCAGTAGACCTACATTGTATTTCCCCATGCTGACTGAAGGGGGGAAAATCTTTTTTGGATTTTAGTTGCTGGGTGCTAGATCCAGGTAAGCTGGCGTATCTCCATTGACAACAGTGGATCTACACTGCACTTTAGACAATAATAAAACCTCTCCTCTTCTACAGAAGTATTTCCATTTGGAAGAATATCAGAGCAGGGAGCCTCAACCTTACTGCTGAGCAGGAGGTGATTTTTTTAGAAATGTTGCATCCTCTCAAAAAAAGGAGTTATGAGCAATCAGGTGTCTCTATTACAGGACCTCAAGGCATCAAATCTCTCCAGCATCCTGAACTCAGCAGCCAAACAATGAGATACCACAGACTTCATGGCCACCAGCATGCATCTCACCATATTGCAAGTCAAGACAATCTCGACAGACCTGGCATCCACTCTGAAGACTGTTGTTCTAAGTATGTGCAAAACTAACAGTTGTTCCATCATTACTGCTCCCTTTCAGGGATTACCAGGAAATAGCTGACCTGCTCTCATTTTATTTTTTATATTAGCCATGGCCTTGAGCTTGACCTGGAGTTGAAGTCCAGGCCTCCCCCATTATCCACTCCTGGCTCTTCAGACGCTCCGCTCCTCAACACTAAATCAGCAGCAACTGCTCTGCAGTGTAGTAGGTCTCCTGAGAAGATCACTTTGCTGGAATCTCCCACACGTGAGTAAATTGTAAACAGCGCCAAGACAAAATACTTTACTTGCAATGTCGAACAAACCTTGGCTCAAGACAAGTGTTTTAAGTTTAAAACACTTAGCCAAGTAAAAAAATAAAAGGAAGCTCCTAGCAATCTAACAATGACTTTACCAGTTTGAACAGAATAAATACAGACCTCTTCATCTTCCATGCCCCGGTATCCTCAAGGTTTTGTGCCAAACTCTTGATGCCTAAAGAAGGCATCTAGCAGATGACAAGGAGAGACAGGAAGGAACCAACGGTGAAAAAAAGATGAAGAGATGCAACATCCTGGCAGGGAGGATAGCTGGTCCATTATGTTTTCAAGACAGTGTCTGTCTGGGCTCTGATTTTTTTTCTTGAGACTGGGGGACAGACTTTTCTGTTTGGCATTGGTATAACCAGATGCAAAGCCAGGGAGACTACAGCACTAAGTGATTATAAGTGGCTGAAACTTAGCAGAAATAAGGGAGCATTGAAGAAAGGTTTGAGGGAGATCAGGGACACCTCTCAGAAAGTAGGGATGGTAAATGGAGGAAGCAGCATGATATTATGAGATTGTCTGCTATGCTAATTTAAACAGTGGCAGAACTGCAATTCAGGTGGGAATGAGAGCTAATACTGTTTCACATTTGGTTCATTGTTATACAGCTTAGGAGGCCAAAATATACAACCATTTTACATTTATCTATATTCCAGTACCCAGATCTGTCCACTGTCTTGAGCTATGCATTTTTTGCATAGAATCATAGTAATTGCTATATAAGGTCAATTCAGAGGTCTGTCTAATCAAGTATCTTTGATTAGACAATGGCCAGTAGAAGATGCTTTATTCATCACCACTCCTTATGTGTTTGACTTTTGTTTCAGAAAACAAGACAAAACTGGCTTTAGAATGGACTTTTTATCCACGGTTTGGTCTTCATACATATCATATTGGGAAACGATGCATCTTTAATAGCACTTTCCTCCGAAACAAAACCTCTGCATCAGAAAGGACCTTGGAAATGTGTTTGGGGAGAAAAAAACACGGTAAATTCTAGAACGTTTGCTAAGACTTTTCTAAGTAAAAGTCTTTGGCAGCCTTCATATATTGAACTTATTGATTGAGAAAAAAGTCACACGTTTATTGTGTCTTGTGCAAACGTGGTAAAGGTTTGTGTAAGTGTGGTAAAGGGAAGGGTCTAAGTTCATATATATTATTCCTGGGGTATAGATCAGTATTACTGCTGGGATTAAAATGATGGTAAAAATTAATGGTTTGTTCTGGTTACCATCTGGATCAAACTGCAGATTTAAAACAGATTCATCAGTACTCATTTCACTAGGACATGCAATACAATGTGTATATAGACTGATGTTTTAAAACCTGGATGGCTAAAATAGCTCCTAAATCCATATTTAGGCATTTAAATAAGTAGCTTGAGTTGTAGAGCAGCTAAGCATCCAGGAGTTGTGTGCACTCTTTGCCTTTGCCAGGATAGTTTTCTAAATGCGGTGTAGGCACCGAAACTAAGGTGTCCAGACTAAGATTTTCAAAAGCAAAAAATTATTTTTTGACTGCTGGAAATGTTAGATCTGCAAAAGGCAGCTGTGTAGCATTGTCGGGGTGTGTGGGTGTGTGTGGGGGGGAATCAACACTCTTTACGGTGTCTCAGAATTGGACATCCTCCATTTAAAGAACAAATTATGGTTTAACATCTTGGTCCATATCTTGCACAGGGTAATCGTAACATGTGCCTTCCCCTTCCTCCTGTTCACTTTCTGATTCTTTAAGGAAAACGCTGTCTCGTAACACAATCATATTGTACGTCCAATCCATTATCTGGATCAATTATTTGGATTGGCATCTTTGCAGTTATTTTGGCATCTTTGCATATTGTGACATAGGCCCAAACCCACGAGCCATTTCTTTTAACAGTCTCTTAACTCATCAGCAGTGCAGTCCAAGCCTCAAAGCTGAATATCAGGGCCTAGGGTTGATTCCCCCTTGCAATGTGTTCACAGCCCACCTGCGAGTATGAGGGTGTAATCACAGGAAATCTATCTCCAGCTCTTCTACATCCCACTTTATCCATTGCCCATAATTGGAGCCAAGTATTTGTGGGCAGACAAGTAGTAAGTGTGATTGCTAGAAGGGATTATTTTGAGATTCCTGTTCTAGAAAGCAGGCAGCCCACTACTTGTTTCTGCTTCTGCATTTCCTTCCCGCTGCTGAAGCAGAGTAGTGGAGAGGAGGTCACAAGGGTCAGGGGAAGTGAGAACAAGCCTCCAACTCACTCCAGGATAAAGGTGTGAACATGCTCTTGGAGCACTAAAAGCCCCTCTAAGCTTTGTAAACCAGTTTGTACAGCATAAATACATTTTTACACTGTCTATTTTGTTCAAGTCAATAGTAGCAAGAGATGGAGTAACCTATCAAATGGCTGGGGAGCTCATTGCTCTTCACTGAGAGGCAATCTTATGCAACACAGAAAGACACTGTAGCTAATGTGTTTGTTGTTGTTATCAGTCCAGATATAGTGTCTTAGATCCAAGAGAAGTAAATGCTTTAAATCATGAATTAGTGATGCTTTATAGTTTGCATAATTAAATGTGACGATGTCATTTGACACAGATAATTAGGCATATATTTTTGAGCAATAGGGTAATTAACACTATAGACGACTCGCCGTTGTGGAATCTAGATTCAGCGAGTGCAATAATGTAACATAACAGAAATGCAATTGGCAGTTTATCTTTAATTTAGTTCAAGCATTTCCAATTAACTGTTTTAAGGCACACATGAATTAGAACCAGGATGCTCAGAAGTAATGGTTAATTGATATATCAAGAGCTGGGCTGGCTAAAGAGTGCCTCAAGGGTTTGGCCTATCTGCCTAACAGATAATGCAGAGTTTATGGCTTTCCCAGAAAATATATTTTGTAGCCATATAAATAGCCATTTTTTTATAAACTCAGAAGTTCCTGAGGAACTAAAATCCTGAGCTCCTAACTTATTTTTTATGTAAGTCAAGCCTCTCTTATGCAAGTCCATGACAGTTTTGTCTGACTGTGGACACCAAGGTTGGTCCTCAAAACCAGGGAGAATCAAAGCTGTCAGAAGCCTCTGTCTTTTTTTGACTGCTACAACAAGGATGTGCTTTCCATCCACAACCCTGAGGAACTTTCCATAACCATAGTAATGCTTTGTGCATGTATAACACCATGCATCCAGGAACCAGACAGAATATTATAGCTATTGAAGTGTACCTGGGTGCCTGCAGTCTTGGCAAGCCTTAAAGGACTGCCAACTGAGGCAGAGATCTTTTGAGCCGGATCTTCAGCTAAGGAAAAGCACTAGAACTCCTTTCATCAGTTATGCCAACTTATCCCAGCTGAAGAACTGGCTCACTAGGTCTCAACATTATCAAGTCAGGGGCACAGCTTGGAACAGGATCAACTGCGCTAAGCCATTGTATGCTGGTCTAACTCCATCAAAAGGTCCTATTGAAGTCAATGGCATCACACCGGCATCACGCTGTACAGATGTAATGGTGAGTCAGACCACTATGGTACAGAATCACAAATCTACTGTTCGAGCTACTGCAGGCTCTGCCTTCCTGCATAAAAATATGGTGGGGTATTACTTATATGAAGACAACATCAACTATAATGACAAAGGGAAGATGTGAAAAAAGCCAGTGAAATGTCTGTACAAGCAGCATAACCAAGGTTGTAACACTTCCATGCTTGTTGCCTAAAACATGCAGCACCTGTCTCTTATCTAAGATTATTGGACCTTTAGAAAATAGAATAGCATGGACATGAAATACCTCTCACAGGTGGCTCGCTCTCTACATTATACCCAAGATGGCGATACAATGACAAAGCTTGTGCTGTCACTGTCCCTCTCTCAGGGTTTCAACCCAGAATCTTTCTTGTGAAAGAAATCCTGTCCTTATGTTATTGTAACAGGTCTCATGGGTGTGTCACCCCTCCGGGGTCTGGCCCCATCTCACCTCCAGTCTCTTGCTGCCATACTTTGGATGCTATGGTTTGGTTTATTGAGGAGGTGGTCCCCAAGACAGCTCCTCTGATTCCTTTGCCAGCCAGCTCTGTCCTTGCTTCTAGGTCTCTCTCACACCTGGGGGTTTCCACTTCCCTTGGGGTGCTTCCCTTTTAAGGGACCACCCCCTTTGGGCTTCCAAGCATCTGTTGGCCTTGCCCTGCACAAGCATCCTGGTCTTGCCCCTCTTTTCTTTGGCCAAGCTCTCAGCCCTGGTCCAGTGTCTGAGACCTCAGCTCCTGGACCTCATCCCTGACTTGTATGCAGCCCCTCTTGGGGCTCCAGTTTTGCTTTGCTAGCCTCACTCTCCTCAGCTTTGGTCTAGTTCCCAAATTTATCCAGCATAACTTGCGTGTTAAGGAAATAATTTCTTTTTTTGTTACAACCCGGTCAGAAATTGACTGCAGAAATGGCATCCCCATGGCAACCCCTTGTGACAACTGCTACAACTGTCCAGAACACAGTTTGAACTTTCACAGATTCGGATCAACGAGGCCAGTGGTGAATTTTGGATGGTATGTTCATAATCTGGATGCAATTTCTTATTTTTAAATACATAATCATATATTAAATTGTTATCGGTAGTATATTATTGCTGAATACAGGAACCTGAAATGGAACAATATTTGATTTCAAAACCCTGGCCACCATATACTACATGGCGATGATACATAATTAAAGAAAAAGCCCGGAAACATTTTCAGGGAGTGGAGGCAATGGACCAGTGGTGTCAAACATATAGCCCACAGGCCAGATCTGGAATCGGAGGGATCCAATTCAATTTGGAGAGATTAAAGGGTCTTCTGATTCGATTTGGATTTGGAGATTTGGTCACTGAATTGGGCCTAGCCTCCGCCAAATCAAATCAGCAACCGATGCTTCGCACAACCCTAATTACAGCCAAAGATGTGGTCACAAAAAATGTCAGAGTTAAAGAAGGATTGGACAAGACTGTCATGAAAGGGTATTAAGAGCCAGGTTATATAGGTAGTGGTGAGGAAGGACTGTTTTCTCCAGATTGAAGGCACATGTCTGCAGTGCTATGCTAAGCTTGAAACAAGGTCCAACGTTTATGGACAAAATAAGCTAGATGGCTTTAATGGAGACTTCAGCCCTGATTCAAAAAGGGATTTAAGCACCTATTATAACTTTAAGACACTGAAAAATCCCATTGAAATCAGTGGTGCTCTCTGAGTATTTAAAAGTGCACAGGTGCTTATGTGCTTTGGGTGAAAGAGAGAACCTCCAGATCCAAGATGAAATACAGAGTGAAAATTGCTTGTTGTAGAGAGTGGAAAACACACCCCAATAGACCAATAACAGTGAGGGATATGCTATCTGGAAAAGACATATGGATTTCATTATTAACATGTGAATTGAAGCGGTTGATAAAATGCTATAATAGAGTACACTTGGAATTCAGTATTTTTAATGAATATTAACACACACATTTTACTGAAAGGGAGCCAAATATTGACAGGTCTCTATAGAATGATTTAGCAGCTTTATGACTCTTCCTTCTTCTGCTTCTCTCTCTTTTTTTTCTACAGTGAAAAGTATAAAAAGAGAGTAGATACATTTATCCCTCTTCAGCATTTGCCACAGATTCCTTGGTAAGTATCTGCATTTAAGCACAGGCGACAGCTATGAATACATGGGGTTGGATTCTGACCATTGTTGCCCTTGAAAAGTCATGGAGTAATTCAGCCAGAATCAATGGATTTAAGTGGTGTAAAGTAAGGTCTTGTGTCTGGAAAAGTCCAACTGGGTTTCATAAGAATGAGCAGATAGGGTTTGTATAGATACACTGAGCCCCTGCAAACATCCTCCAACCTGGGAAGTGTAGCAGGGAATCTCTTCTTTCTACAGAACATTTTAACCCCTTGAGATTTTTTAAGGTCGTTCCTCTGGAGTAAATGCTGTGTTATATTTGTCTGCTACATTTTTCCTAAGGAGTAAATTGAGAATACTCTGGGGTAAATATATGCTGCACCTACACCCTTAGTTATGTACAAAAAGAACCATGATTCTTTGCTCCTTTCATGTACCGTATTTACAGTAGTGCTCCTTAACTGGGATTTGAAATTCATGCCTCCTCAGCTGCCAGACTGGTTATTGTCTTGTGGAGTTAGTCTGTAAACATTTTAAGGCAAGGACGGTTCCTTAGGATAGGTGTGCACGGTTCATGGCATAATAGCTCCATGCTAGGGTGCTAAAAAGAGCTAATTTTTTTACTCAAATATCTGAATGGGTGGGTTTAATATAGGGATTACAATGACAGGTGTCACCACTGTCTGGTGCTGCCTGGGCAATCTATTATTCAGGAAAAGCAATGTCACCACTATATCATAAGAATATTGTTTGTCTTTAATAATGTTGACAGAGGAAAAAAGAAAGGGACGTTGTGGGGGGGAACCCTCTCTGAGTCCAGGTAGGACTTGTGTTTCTGCCCTTCTATTAATGTGTCTCCTGACTTAAGTCTTTGGCAAAATAAATGACAAGTTACTATCTTTGGTAGTAACTAATTACTGTGCAGTATATTTAAGCCACGTAAATGCACGTGTAGACATGCCCTGTGTGTCTCCTTAGCTATACTGCTACAGGAGTAGCTCTATAGCTGCAATGTTGCTATTGTAGCTATACTGCAGCAGTATATCTGCAATCTCCATAGCATGAACTCTGCAGTCTCCACACCATGAATGCAGTGATATTGGTATGAATGGCCGTTTCTAGAAGCTGATGGGAGATAAGCAGGGGAGCTGCAGAAGGCATGTGCATGGGCATATGTGAATGCCTGCCAGTCTATACTTTAACACATTCTGGACAAAACATGAATAAAAACAATTCATTAGCAACTTTGTAGCCATGCTGAGCAGAGAAATCCAGCTCTAATAGCCCCTGGAGTCTGAATGACGGTGGAAGTCCCTTGATGTCATTAAACCACATATGCTGCTGCCTCTGCTGAATCTGGGTAAACCGGGACCTTCATTCCCTAAGTTTAACAAACTGGTGCCTTTCATAATCACTAAATTCAAATGGTATTAAAAAAATCAAATAAAATATTAAAATGTTTGGGCAAAGAGCACTACTTTTAGGACCAGATTGCAGTTAAAGCTAAGTGTTATTGTCAACTGTCTGCTCTCAGGACTTCATTCTGAATGACACTGCCAAAAGCAGCTCTGTTTTCTCCTTTTTGAGCTTTTTTTTTGTGTTGGATACATTTTAAGAACCACACAGAAGCTGCAAAGATGCTGACAGTTCTCCTTGCATGTAATGATTTGTAAACACTTTAATTCATTGGTCATAAAATACATCTTCCCACATGTGCAAATTGCCCATTGTGAATACAAACTGCTGTTTCTGTATAAACTGCATGAAAATGGTACATGCATGCCAACGAAATCATGTGCACAAGTTTTCTGGTGCATGACTCTTGTTATGGGCTAAAGTTTGAGAGCAGGCATCTATGGGTGAATCCGCACATGCAAGCATGTGTGCTTGCAGCAACTCAAATAGAAGCAGTGCAAATTTGAGCCAGGGCTTTTTGCTTCAGTGCACATGCTCAGACGTGCACTTTGGTGTGGAGCAAATTGTGCCACTTGGGGCAAAATAACCCTGCCAGGCTTCTCCCAGATCCGCAGCCAGGGGGAGCTAGAGCCCAGGGCCAGCACCTGTCCTAGCTCCAGCAGTATAAAAAGCTGCCCTGGCAAGTAGCTCAGGGCTACTAGCTCTCAGGAGCTTCTGGGGCCCAGCCAATTGGTACCTGGGGACACTACCTGCTGTACCAGATGGACTGCCGACGCAGCCCTGAGAGTTCCCTGCACCCTCTACCCACTGCAGCAAGCTGGCAGTGGGGGCTGCTGCCTGGCTGTGACCTGCTGC